TTGTGGTACATGGTTATTACAGTGACATGCTCCTTCTTATGTTCTATCGCATTTACCTTTTCTTTTTCTTGTTGTTGATTTGTATATTTAGTTTTCATACTGTCTTATTTTTTTGGATTATTCTCACCTTTGTTTTGTCTGGTGAGTGTTAATTACTAATTTTGCTCACTTTTTCTTCATTTTTGATGCAGCCGTGAAGAATCCACCTTTACAAGCTGCAGGCAACAAAGAAATTGACCAGAGACCTCCACACCTGTTAAGGGACGAGTGTATTTAGCACAGTGAGGTGGGCTTCAGATGTTCATTCTCGTGCTGTCTCTCTCTCCCACACATACGTAAACATTCACTGGCCATTTTTAAGGTACTCCTAACTTACAGACTGCAGTCTGTTTCTCTGCATACCTTTTAGCCCCCTTTCATCCTGTTCCTCAGTGGTCAGAACCCCCACAGGACCACCACAGAGCATGTATTATTAGGGTGGTGTATTATTAGGGACACAGCAGTGATGCTGAATTTTTTAAACACTGTGTCCACTCACTTTCCACTCTATTAGACACTCCTACCTTGTTGGTCCACATTGTAGATGTAAAGTCAGAGTCAATAGCTCATCTGCAGTGCTGAGAATGAAATAATAATAGTACCTACTCTGTGGTGGTCCTGGTGGTCGTAGTTGGGGTCCTGATCATTGATGAATGAAGTGAAAGGGTTAACGAATTATGCAGAGAAACAGATCAACTACAATCTGTGCACCTACACATTAAATGGACCTGATTAAATGGAAAATGAGCATAGATACAAGGTAACTGTACATAATTAAGTGGCCAGTGAGCTTCTACATATAATCAAGTACAACGGTGTTTTCATTAATTATGTAATTGTTATTCTACTCATTTTGTCTGAATTGTAGATTTTGTATATGTTGTCCAGACAGTTAGATCAATTACTTCAAAAAGCTTTCTGGTCTAATCAGTTCATGTCCACATACCTGTGAACACAGGTGAGCTTTAAGAATGGTTAACAAGACTCAATACAGTACATATTGTATACACATAATGTATGATATTATTTTCTGTGGTAGATTGATTGATTGCTCTTCTGTGTTGTACTGTCTCTTCTGTTTTGTTGCACATTGCCAGTTTTACTGTAGAGTTTGACACTGTGTTTCTCTCTGAAGGGGAATCAGTGATGAGCTGGAGCTCCTGATGTACTAAACTGGGATCACAGCTGTCAGTCCTGCTGAAAATGGATCATTAATAACTGATAATCAGGTATGGATATGAACTTGTGGTGGGAATCAAAGTTCTAAAGCTGTCTTTCCTCAGTTCACTCAGCTTCTCCTCTGATGAGTTTACAGTGGTCACTCGAGGGTCTCTTTTTCTCAGATGTTCTCTCAGAGAAAAAAATCTTAGGAACTCTGTATATCATGCAGAGGTCATTTTAACACCCTCAGCGAGCGTAAAGGGACCTACCGTATTACTTCCCAATATTCTGGCCCAAATCATCACTCCTCAACTTCCTTGCTGACGTTGCAGGCTTGTTTGAACAAATCATCCAGAACTCCATCCATCTGGTCCATCTAGTGTAGCATGGCATATATAAGCAAAATGAAACTGTTTGAAAATTAGTCTTCGTGTATTTCTGAGCTCACTGCAAATGTTTCTTATTGAGAGCTTTGCTTAGTGGTGGCCAAAATACAGCTTTATGAACAGCTGCCAGCCTGTGGAGGATCCTGCATGGAGAGGTTCCAGAGACTCCAGCAGTTTCCAATACCTGTTTGCTGCTCAACAGTGGTGTTTTTATAGCTGCGCTTTAAATACAATTAATTTGTCTGACAGAAACTTTCCTTAATACGCCTTTATCTGACCATATTCACCTGTGCTCTGAATTTCCCACATATCTTTTCACAGTTTGATGATTTCTCTTCAGTTTTTGTGAAATATCAATCGTTTTCATGCCTTTTGTTCCACTATTCCACACTTTTCATCTTTCTTTCTCCCCATATTGCATGAGAACTGTGGCTTAATAATGTGGAAGAATCTCTTTAAGTAAGTTTCCCTTTAATGAAGATCACCTGGCAAAGTAACTAACAAATCTGTCTGAGATTGGTGCCGGTTATTGTTAGATGGTGATACCCTCATGAACAACGTCTATATATATATATATATATATATATATATGTACATATATATATATTATATATATATATATATATATATATATATATATATATATATATATATATTCACAAGTAGATTTGAGTAACAGCCATGAGGCTGGAACTCTACACACATCTAACACACGCTGACTCAAGCTACACGGGCGGTTAGTAGTGAGTACAGGTGAGACCGTTTTCTGGCTGGCCCGGAGCTCTTGTACTCTAAGCTCCGCCTCAACCTACACCAAACCCCAACCCCGGGATACATAACTAATACACACACACACATACTGTACAGTAACAACATACACCTGGTTGCAACCCATGACAGTCTTACTGGTAAGTATATACAAATATTACATATAAAGATCATGAAAGCCTCCTAACATGTTTTCTTTTCTTTACAGGACCAGCACCAGAGTGTCGGTGGATCCATCCGACTAGGGATATGAGGAGCCACAGCTCTCACTGACATCCCCTAAAAGATGCATAACAAAGGAATACAGGGGAGTAACATTTTATTTCACTTAAATGTCTATACTTCTGATGGTTATGCTACCAGTCAATAGGGCTGGTGATGGGGTGTAAAACTCACCACATCACAGTTATCTTAAAAGGTATGAGAAATAATACAGACACTTAATTTGAAAAACTAAAACCTAAATGCTTATTATACTGAAATCCTACTGATAAATCACTTACATAATCATTTGGAACACAGTGTAGTGATGACATGCTAGCAGAGTTGTTCGTGATCGTTAGTGAAGTTGTGTCTGTTGTGTCTGTAATGTTTAGCCTGTGGCTTATGGTGCATGTGACGTTTCTTATGCTGTAATTTGACAGCGTTTATTGAGAGATGGCTGCTGTAGCCGAGAGAGAAACATGTCGGCCATCTGTCCCGAACAGCTGTCCAAACCCTCAGTGCAGGGTCAGGTTTGGAGACTGTACTTGTAGCTGCACAGCTCTGTCTGGGTCGTTACCTGGCTATGATCTTATACTCTGAGCTCTGTTTTATCTGCATGTAAACACAGTCACTAAAGCAGCTTTTCATCATGTGAGAAACATCACTAAAATTCTGCCTTTTCTCTCTCAGAGCGACGCTGAGAAACTTGTTGATGCATTTGTTACAAGCAGAGTTGATCACTGTAATGATCTTCTTACTGGACTTCCTAAAAAACAATATATCCTCTACAACTGGTACAAAACACAGCAGCATCCTAACAAAAGCTAAACAGAGAGATCAGATCACTCCCGTCTTTAAAAGAGCTGCACTGACTGCCTGTATCATTCAGGATAGATTTTAAAGCTCTCTAAATGACCTTAAAGCACTGCTTACATCACAGAGTGTCTGTCTTTTTATGTTCCAGCACAAAATCTGCGGATACTGACCTTCTGCAAATACCTTCTGTAAAATACAGAAAACATGGAGAGACTCGTTCAGTTATTACGCTTCACCTTTTATCACCTTTTATTTTTATTATGTTCACTTTTTATTAGACAGTCAAGCTCAGAGCTCACTTTTTAATTAAAAGAGGATTAAACCCCTTTAATTAAACCTTAATTAAACCTCTTAATTTGATCTGTGTCATGTGGTTACAATAATAGGCAAATCATATAAATCCTATATTGGAAATAGTACAAAGACAACATATCATACGTGTACATGTTTACCACTGTGTTATATCATCTCTTCTTTCAACACTCGGGGTCTTCTTTGTCATATTTTTTGTTTCATAGTGCTCCAAATGTTTTCAGTGGTGACAGGTCTGGACTGCTGGCAGGTCAGTTTAGCACCCGGACTCTTACTATAGAGTCATGCTGTTGTAATAGCATTGCCTTGCTAGAATACTCAAGGCCTTGCCTGAAAAAAGATGTCGTCTGGACAGCAGCACATTTTGCCAAAACCATATATCAGGGGTCTTTAATTCAAATTCAGTAAGGTCCAGTCAAAGAAAATTTCCTCAGCTTGATTTCATCAGCACACAGTTAAAAAGCCAGTATTCATGATGGTACAGGGGTGCATTAGTGCACATGGCATGGCTGACGTGCACATCTGTGAAGTCAACATTAACGCTGAATGATATATGGCAGAGGTCACTAATAGGCGGGCCGCGGTCCGAGTTCAGACCCAGACGCTGTCCTGTGTGGACCTGGACCTGTAACTGATAAACTATGGATAATTATTTAATTTCAACAGGGTGGTCCTAATTTTATCGGCGTAACATTTCAAGTCATTACGGCAGCCTGGGAGACTCGCAGACTAATTGCATGCTTGTGAATATCACACGACGCTACTCAGCCAATTAGATCTGTGCATTACGAGGCGCACTGCGACTCAAATGAGTGACACACACACAAGGGAGTAAATATTGTTGAAATATCACTGAATTGTACTTTATTTGATTTGACATTCAGTTGTTGACTTTTCTGCGTTTACAGTGCGTTTGTGAAATGTAGTTCAGGTGTCGTCATTTTGATGAAAGTGTTTTTTGTGTTTGCAGCGCGTTTATGAGTTTGCAAAGTGTTTTCAATTATACTATCAATAGCATCTTGTTGGCCACTGAAAATATGAGCCAAAATGAAAAATGAAACCTCTGTTACACAGTTTTCATGTCGCTTGACCTCTTTTTTTGTACTTCAAACATATTTGCTTGATTGAAAAGCAACAAAAACAGTGAAATGTCGTGCACACATGAGATTACATTTAAACAGTAATATACCGTAAATGTGCCAAAATGAAAAGTAAACGCTCTGTTACACTGATTTAACGGAGGAAAGCAGGATAGTGAAGACTTTTTTACGTTTCCTGGCCGAGTGTATTCAATTCAGACATGAGTTCAGTCTTGTTTTTACAGCTAGGAATTCAAGCGACGTGAGAACGTTGTGATGGAAGGTTTGTTTTTCATTTGGCTCGTATTCTGCACGTCACTACGGAAAAATAACAGTAACTGCTTTTCAGTTTGTTCCTCTACATACGAGAGAGCAAGCACCAACGTGGTTATCAGTACTTTCCCCTCATTTGAACGTTGCTCTCCTTGTGGACTTTCTGTCTTACAGTCTGAGAGAAAGGTGAGGCTGAAGGAGATCATCAGGAGGAATTCCAAACACGCTGCTCTGCTCTTATTGTGAGTCCTGATCCCAGTTCATACTCATTAACAGCTGAACTTCATAAGGATTCTGTTCAGTATTCAGCTCAAAACCAAACAGTGCAAATTCAAATATTGTTTGAAATTCCTCAGTCAGGCTCAGTTGTTCTCATGAAGTTAATCCCGTAACTAATGAAGATCAAAGAGCAGGAGCCGTGCACATGTCTGTGTGTTTGTCTGTGTCAGGTCGTGACCTGTCCCTCAGGGCTGCTGTCTCTGCCCTCTCTACATGGCTTGACTGGACACACTGAGCTGTGGACTGCACTGCCCCGTCCTGCTGATTAGAGGAAACCAGCAGAATGTCCTCACCTTCTACTGCCAGTAACTCACTCATCCACAATCACTTAGCACTTATCAAGGAATTCATGTAGAAAAAATCAAAGAAATTTGAATACGTTTGTTGTTATGTGTACAAATTCTAATATATAACACAGTGAACAACATGATCAGCTGAGGTATCATGAAGAGAGACAGTGGTTTAGGAACAGCACTTCACTGATTACTTTGTAAATTATCATTTAAATGAAACTCATGTTCAACTTTTGTAGCATTCAGTTTGACATCAGTCCATCCTGCCTGACATTTCTAGATATTTCTGCAGACTTTGATTTGCTGTATATTAGACTAGGAGAACTAAACTTAACTTACATTTTAATGAGATAACGAGTTGGTTCCCTGGACAGAGATTAAATTAAATTCCATGTTTTTTTTTTTTCTTCAATTGGGGTGTATCTCAGAGATGTCCAGTTCTAGTTCTGGAGATCTGCCACCCTGCAGAGTTCAGCTCCAACCCTGATCTGACACACCTGATCCAGATAATCAAGGCCTCCAGGCACATCTGAATATTAGAGCCAGGTGAGTTGGATGTGAGCTTTTCAGAGTGATGGATCTCCAGGAGCAGGACTGAGCACCCCGGCTGTAACTCTTACCTCAGTTAAACAAACTCGTAAATAAAACAGTGACTTTTTATTATTATGACTTAATTTACGAGGCTGTAAAAATCCAAGTTTTGCTGGCCAGAAACTTTGATTTTACAAGACATTGATTTCTTGAGGATCAGGGTTTGTATAGCGATGCACGACTCTGTGTTTTCTGTTGTCGACTGCACTTAATTTAAAGCCAAGGCTGCATCCACAACCGCGTACTACTACTATATCATACATACTGTAGTGCACTTTGCTATTAAAAGATACACAGCTTTCGCACAAGTCATGGTGCTTTATTCTTCAGCTGTTTTTTGTCCACAGCTACAGCGTATATAAGGTTTTCTCTTTACTAACAGCTCGTTGCTACCCAGCTCACATCTGACTCTCTCAGCTATTTCTGCTCACCACACTTATCCCCCCCAGGCGGACCTTGCCTTGCCCTTCATAGTAAGAGTCCTCAGCAGAAAAACCCTGTGAAGTGCTGAAGAATAAATAACCCAAAACCAACATGCAAAACATTTCTTGAACACACTACAGTTTTGTTGCATTTGGTTGAAGATGAAAAAACAACATTAAATCAATGTTGAATGTTGATTGAAGAAATGAACCTAATGTTTAGGTTAAAAAACAGACATTGAATCAATAATGAATTATAGTTTGTGGATCAACATGGCCATAGTAAATATGAGCTAAGACAGACTGATAATACACCTTCACACATTTACAGACTTGTAGAAAAGTCTTTAATGTTCAAAGGCAAACATTTCATTTCAGTTTTGGGGATAAAATATTACTAACATGGTTTTGAGGATGGAGCTCATGAGTCCCCCTAAATTAACACATGATCCATATATTAGGATTTGTTTCACCATGGCAGCAAAACTCATCTTGGCCAGTGACTGGAAAATGGCAGAGTGCACAGTCTTATGTAGACGTTTGGACTTTGGACTTGGTCAAATCACTCATTGTTGATGCTCCAAGCGTGAATATGATAAAAAACCCTTCACAGGTATAAATTTAAATATGATGTATGTCTCCACACTTAGACACACACACAATGTATTTAAAGTGCCATTTTACACGTCACTTTTTTGTGATATGTTAAATTAAGGAAATAGACGGTAATCGTGCTTTAGAAGGTGCAGAAGTACAAATGTGTCTGTAGAGAAAATCAACAGCACACAGTTTTATCAGGGATGTCCACAGAGTTTTATCAGGGACTACAATCTAAACTGTACATAGATTGTAGTTTATGTATGTAAATTATTGTAAAACCAAACACTGTAGGGTGACTGGATATGTGGATATAAGCTCAAAACAATAGCTACAGAGTAGAGGTAATTAAGCCTACAATAAAACATACATATCTATAGAGAGAATTCTACAGAAATCTTTAAGTGCTTTTGGTTTTAATCAGGGTGTGGGTATCCACTCTCCTGTCCTCCTAAAGAACCTGTATAGAACCATCTTTTTGAAGGGTATAGAGAAGGAACGCCTATTAAACTTATCACTATAAGTTAACTTATCAAATATAGTTATTTATATGTTCTGTATTTTTAAACATATATATTTGCTATTTTGTGGCTTTATAGCTAGCTAGAAATAGTAAAGAAGAGAGAAGTTGAGCAATTTCTAAATGTGTTACTTGAGAATAAAGTTACTTCATCTAAGTCAGCAAAGTGAAAAAATTAGAACTTTTAGTCTCAATTTGATCATGAGCCCTTTGAGGAAATGGTGCGAAGGTGCATTAATGCTGTTAGATGCAATATTTGAAATGTGAATTTAGCTAGTAGTTAAACTAGATTAACAAATCCTAGAATCAGGTACAAACTCTGATTAATTTAAGTTCTTCACACTTGGAACTGTTAACTGGGAATTCTACCAATTTCTCAACATGTCAGAATAATTCAGTCACTGTTGTGTGAACATTTCATTAGAGGTGGGCAGTTTGACCACTGCTGTCATGATAAGTTACTGGAATAAGCAGTGTCTTTTTCTGAGCATGTGGTGGACATTAAACATTGAACAGTTGCGTGTTCCATTTAAAAAAGTGTGCAGCAAATTTTGAATGAATTGTACTGAATAATAGGTGTTGTGTAAGGTGTAGTGGTGTAACGGATCGTAGTTGATCCAGGACCCCCATGGATGGTTGTGTATCACATGTACGGCTCATGTTAAGCCCATTTCACACCAGACACAGTAAACGTGCTACAAGCAATAATTAAGCAATTAAATTAGTGTTGTGCGATATGACCAACATTTCATATATCCTGAAAGCATTATCACAATATAGCACATCTACTGTAAATTAAATCAATACATTTTATTTTCATAAAATGAACAGATTGAAAGTAGGGCTGTGTGATAGGGACCAAAAATCATATCTTAATATTGTTACGCTAAGTGGCCATACATGATATACAGTATTTCTGTGTATTTTCTACAAAGTGGGCTAAATATTTATTTTAGAGGTAACAAACACTTTTATTAAAACAGATTGTACTGTTGTACAGTGCTGTGATACAAGTATATATTTGGATTATGTAGATTTGACTGAGACTAATTGTATTTATTTTTTTATTTGTTTGAACCCCAGATGGTGAAAAAGGAGATGAACAACACAATTTCACAGATTTGTTGTTTTAACAGAGGTAAGTAGTAGTAGCAGTAGTAGAGGTAAGTAGTCTTGTTCTTGAAGTGTGGTGCATTGAATGATGTTGCAAACAGCATGACTTCCTACTGGTCAGTGAGACGGAGGATAATAAGGGATGTAAGTAGGATAGAAAAAGAAAGCTACACAGTTCTGCATGAACAGGAATAGACCCTTTTCACAAAATACTGGAAATACAGAAGCACTGGATAAACAAATTCCTGTTCTGCTTTACCTCAGACACTCCCACATTCTCATCACTTCAGCTCATCACCCAATGTTTTACCTTTTTAATCGTTGCTAATCATCTCTGGGTCTGTTAAACAGTTTACAGCTGGAGAGACGTAAAGAAATCAGTGACAAATTAACAAATACGCGAGCAGGAGACGTCTCTACTGAATGAATGGCTCAGTCTCCAACCACTCCATATTCTCTATCTAGTGAACTAATAAAAACAGCCTGTATGCCCAAATATTTCATTATATTAAAGCAGAAGGAAGACGACTACATCCAGCCACGGATAACAAGGCTCTCTGCTTAACAATTAAAGTTCGATTAAGGTCTAGAGGACATTTTTTCATGTTTCTTAGTGTACTTAAAGGTTTAGATAGTGATTTGGGACTCGGTCCAAAATATCTCGTGCCCAAAAGCTCTTGGCTTCTTTAAAGTTTTGGTAGATGAAAAGCATCTGAAACAACACAATTTCAGCTCAAACAACCTTAAGTGCAGTAGAAAACTGTGAAATAGTGATTGATGCTTGTACATGAAGGTGCGCTCTCCTCTATTAACAGGAATAGGTAAATACAGGGTGATTCAGAAAGATTCATCTGATTTCAAAATGATTTATTTCACTTGTAAATCATTACAGAACAATGCAGTAGAGTGTAAATTGTTTAAGTGAGCATAAAGTTTATTATGTAATTGTATATGTGCTCAGTATGAACCTCCTCCAGCTGTACGGACAACATCAACGCCATATTCAGATTCATCCCATACTCGATTGAGCATGTCGGGTGTCGCTGCACTCACGGCTCTTTCAGTGCGATTTCGGAGATCATCCGGTGTTGTGGAACCAACGACAAACACTCCGAGCTGTTGGAGCTTCACTGCCCACATAAATCGCGCTGCACAGTTATGACTGATTCACTCTTATTGAAATGGTGAACGCAGAACGCTTTCTGCTCAGGGGTCGCTTCACCTCGCAGACTGAAGGGAGCCAGTCAGAAACTCTATGACTGCCTCTTTCAGTTGGATTGTGATTGGTTCCTAGGTGACTCACAGTTGTAGAAATACGGTGCTTTGAAATGGGATTAATCTTTTTAAATCACCCTGTACTATGAAATGTGATGCATAGTGTACTGTAGTGTCAGGGTCAGACATGTTGCAGATTTTGGCTGAGTTTGTTGTTTCAGATGCTTTTTATCTGCAAAAACCTTGAAGACGCCAAGAGCTCTGTAGTAGGACGAGATATTTTGGACCGAGTCCTGAATCAATTTCTACACCCTGCATAAGTGCACTAAGAAACATAAGTCATTAAAAAACTACACGTTAATGGAACTTTAATTGTTAAGCAGAGAGCCTTGTTATCCGTGGCTGGATGTAGTCGTCTTCCTTCTGCTTTAATATAATGAAATATTTGGGCATACAGGCTGTTTTTATTAGTTCACTAGATAGAGAATATGGAGTGGTTGGAGACTGAGCCATTCATTCAGTAGATTTTAGGCACCCAAGCACATTATTTAATTAATTAGAACTCATACAGGTGAACATAAAAACAGGAAAAAGAAAGCAGAACGTCTCTTGTCAAAGTTTGGGTCCAGATTTCACCTCCCAGTGTGTGTTTGTTCAGTTCCATCACCAGCTCATCCCTTAGCCAATCAGAGGTATCGTATATCTGTAATATTATAGGCAAATTTTTATACCAATTCTGAAATCTCATTGGCTGAGCAGTGTTTCGAGCTGTATGTACATGTTTATTGCAAACATTGTAGAAACCTTATTTAATCTAATGTTTATTTTTGCATGTGTCCAGGTTTGCACTGGAAATGATGCGACGTATTTTGCGGTCAGCCTTGACCAACTGTTAGTTAACCAAGGTTAATTACTTGCTTGTTCATTCTCTTCTTGTTACTCTTTTCTTGAGTGCCTTGCTCTCCCTTTGCTGCTGTAGCACTGAGACTTTCCCTGTTGTGGGACTCATAAGGGATTATCTTATCTTATAAGCAGACCTGTCTTTTCAACTGGGCTGGGAAATGAGAGACCGTTCAAAGACAGGCTTTGAAAGACTGCATATTTGGTGGGTGTTTACAGTTGTCGTCCTCTCTTATTTCCTCTTTCAGATCTTTTAAAAGAATGATTCAGTGTAATGTAATGTAAAGTAATGTATGTGGTGTCATTTTAACTGAATTCTTTTAAGTATTTACATCTTTTCTCAGTGTGCACTGCGTTTGGTAAATGTAGTACAGGTGTGGTCAGTTTGGTCCAGGTGTTTTGGAGTTTGCATCTCTTTTTGAACCTGCATTAAGCTGGACTTTCTCAGCCACCGTTGTGCTTGTTGAGAAGTTTTGGTTGAACTGTTTTTGCAGATGTTTTGGTTGGACAAAAACAACAGGCTATTTATGTGAATATTAAATCTTAGTGCTGAGTTGATGAAGCATCAGTTTTTTCCACTCTTCTTCTAAACTAGTAGACATGCATGCTCTAAACCCCACGTGTCAAACACAAAGCGTGCAGGCCAAGTCAGGCCTGTGACACAGTCCTATTCGGCCAGCGAAATGATTTTATTTTTCTGTACTTATTAGCCCGTTTCACCCTGAGATGCACTACAGTCCCCAGTATGCACTGCAACATACTGACTCCTGAATAAGTGTTCAGTGGCTATTTTGCTGCTGCAGTTTCAGCATGTGTTGAATAAACAGTGGTCCGTTCGGATCACTGAGAAATGTTAAGTAAAAACACAGCTGGCCCACCAATTTACTGAGGCTTTTTAATGTGGCCCTTTTAGTGGTTGAGTTTCACACCCTGATCTAAACAGATCAAAATGAGTCAGCGTGTTTTAAATATGTAGTGCACAGTGGCTTTTTACCAGGAGATGTACTTTCTGACTAAATGAGGTTATATTCACATGTTGGTGTTAATTTGCAATAAAATCTACTTGTAATTCACATCATCGACATTATAATAAATTCCGCAGTGTGGTTTATGAATCCGGCCCAGTTTAGTGAACCGGTTACTATTTGAATGAACTGCTTTCAGGCTAAGATGATGTGGTTGAACATAATCTGAAACTGTGTTATTAATGGTTTATTAATATTGTCTGTTTTTAGGTGTCAGCAACATAAATCACTGACGCTGATGGTCTTTCCTGATGTGGTCAAGAAGCGGCTGCGTTATGCACCAGAAAGGGAGGGGTGCGTTCCCAGAAACACAAGCCGTAGTTGACTTTCTAAATGAACCTTTGCTTTATTTTGTAACTGTAGATGAAAATGACTCATTAAAAGGTCTCATCAGTTTTGTGTTTAGTTCTGTATTTTCTCTTTCTGGCAGATGAGCTTTACTCGGACTCTTCGCTGAAAAACGTGTACTTTCCCACTTACCCCAGGCACAGTTGATCAGCCAAGACATGTTTAATAATCACCATTTTATTAGTTGACTGTTTTTATCTTGTTACTACTGAATGTATCTAAGTATATCTGAATATATGTACTGAATGTTTCAGAGTGATTCTGTTACTGTAGTGGAGTGTTACTGAATATAACATGACTTCTTCATGAAAACACAGTCACTGTGAAGTCTTACTTATTGTTATACAGATAATACTAGAACTTTCTCCACAAAACCACCAAACCTCCACACATCTTCTGAGTTTTATATACAATGATGAGGATGATAATGATGATGAGGATGATGAGGATGAGGATGATGGTAAAATAATGGAAGATCTGAAATAATAAGCTTTACCTGGATCCCTTCACCATTAATGGGCTCAAAAGGAGATTGTAGCCCAAATGATGATCTCAGAACCATCATAAAACAGTGTCTCAGTCATCAGGCAGTGAATTCATAAGCATTTCATGTAGTAACTCTGTGAGGGAGCTTTTAGAGGTGGACGTCTGGTTCCTATCAGCACCACTGTGAACAGTTCTGACTTGGCAAGTTTCTCTAGAACAGGGCGTTTCACACCAAACCACTCTGAATGATTTTATATAGATCAGCCAGTAACTTATGGAGAAATTTAGAAAAGTTGGTGGAATTGTTCTTTAACTAAATGAGGGGGAGGGGGGGTGAGTCTGTGGGCGTGGCTTAATATTAAAATGAGTACGTGCAGAAATTGATAGCTGAGCAGAGAAATGAGTGAAATGGGCTCTACTTTATTCTATTGTAGTTGTAGTTGTAGCTGTAGTTGTTCTCTTCTCTACTCCATGACTCACTGAAACACTCTCCAGCGTTTCTGTGGCGCTGCTTTTAAAGAAGGTAAGGGTCTTTAATTCTGAAAGTCCACACAGAGAAACGGAGAACGCGGACACGACCGACAGACAAGAAGACGGATGTAAACTAATGTCCAGCTGTAAAGATGTCAGCTTTCTTTCTTTTGCTGAGTGAGAAAACCCCGAGCCGTTATAACTGAGGAGACCGGCCACTGGTTGAAATGGGAATGGAAAACTCGCAACGCTCAACATGGCGTCTGTTTACGGTGAAACTCCCGCCCATCAAGAAGCAGAGCCAATCAGCTTGCTGGTTGCGCTGTGAGCCCTCCCCCTTGTTGTAGCGATCAGTAGCCAGAAGGAGCTGAAAAAAGATGTTTTTTTGTGCGTTACTGAGCCAAACGCTACAAACTTCTTATGAGGTTTTGTCAGATTTTATCGTGTCTTTAAATGTGTTTTTGAAAAGGTAATTTGACCCTCAGTTTGGAGTTTTTTGGTCTCTCCCCTTTTAAAGAGGGTGGATTCTGGTCTTGTACGGTTGGAACTGAACGACGAACAGTGTGAGTGCGCCCCCTGCTGTTCATCATTAATAATACCGCCGCTTCAATCAGGAGATCTTTCAGACTCTATAATTATAATGTACTGTATCCTGATCAAGAAACGTGGGTCGTTAATTCCAGGTTGTCTGTTCTGCAGCGTTTATTCACGGCGTTATTCTGATAAGGACTCTTATTCTGAAGGAGTCAGAACAGGAAGAACTGAGTCAGTCGGAGCTGAAAAAACTCCACCGTCTGAAACCTGTATATTTTCTACTGGAGTGTGTTGGATATGGGAGAGTCAGATCTCGGCTCTGGAACACTTTAGCATGGTACTAAGAGCGCAGCTGTCTACGTCTGATCATCACTAACCCAATGTCTGAGTTTGGAGAAGATCGGAGAAAGTCAACATTTTCACCCACAAATCCTCTCAAAGGGACCCCTTTGAGGTTTTTAGAGGACATTTTTGACTTTGTCCAATCTTCTCCAAACTCACACCCAGAGTTAGGGAGACCCAGACTTAGACAGTAGTGCTCTTAGTTTAGTCTGATCTCACACCAAAGCAGAGATCAGATGATCCCATTTCTGATCCATTCCAGTCTAGTAAAGAACACAAAATGATGGACACTGTCAATTTAAAATGTTTATTAACAACAGATTTTAAAACACACACAAAGGAACATCAGCTAAGTATTTAATTCCAAGAACATAAATTAACAAGAAAAAGTGAACGTAACTATATTATTACTGTGTTAGTGTTTAAATTGAACACAAACACATTTATTGACACAAACATTGGGAGGCCTAAAGACGGACACAGGGTTACCACAATTGTAGCGTGTTGTCGGCCTGTTAGGACACAATGCATTTCCAAAGTTGGTGACTTTAAGGGCAGAGATTAAGGAAATATGGCACTTTGAACTCTTAGGCCTAAGAAACGTTTTCAGCTCTTGACGGGTCAGAGTGATGTTGTCCGAGCACCGGCCTTGAAACACTTTGTCAGCCCACTGAGACGCTACAAATATCCCAGTTTGGTCATCCCAAGTCAAAGGGTCAAGGAGATATGTCCCTTAATGCCTTTGGTTATGTTGGGCTTCATTATAAGCCAATGGCAGGATGACACATACATTGGGAGGCCTGGAGAGGCACAATATGGGAGAGTCAGATCTCGGCTCTGGAACACTTTAGGATGGTACTAAGAGCGCAGCTGTCTACGTCTGATCATCACTAACCCATCGTCTGAGTTTGGAGAAGATCGGAGAAAGTCAACATTTTCACCCACAAATCCTCTCAGAGTGTTTTTAGAGGACATTTTTGACTTTGTCCAATCTTCTCCAAACTCACACCCAGAGTTAGGGAGACCCAGACTTAGACAGTAGTGCTCTTAGTTTAGTCTGATCTCACACCAAAGCAGAGATCAGATGATCCCATTTCTGATCCATTCCAGTCTAGTACAGATCTGAGTTTTGGACAGTAGAATTTTAAAAAGACAGATACGGCTTCAGGAGAGAGACGGGCTGCGTGGAAAACTGCTGTTACAACATAAAAATCCACTATTTAAAGGCTTTGCTTTGTACATTCCTCTGGAAATGTATTGGAAATAGCTTAAATATAATAGAATTGGGATGTAGTCCCACCGTTAGTATCTGCATGTTATCTCCACACAAAATACACAAAACCACACAAAATACACAAAAACTGATTTTTCTGAATCTGTAATGCAGTGATTTATTTCTACCACTGGAGGGCGATGATGAGCACAGTTGTGGAGATGGAGGTACCATCGAAGGCAGCAGTGAGTTTATTAGGTGTGTCACAGGTTTTTTTTTATTTATTTATTTTTTATTAGCAGTTCAGAAGAAACAGTGGAATTTTTGCTCGAACTGTGGAATAAAACAAAACCTCTGATTATTCTTTCAGTTTCTGGGTAAGACTTTAGTCTCCAGGCGGTTCTGAAAATACTTTTGGAGTTTATGACAAACAAGAGTCACTGTAAATTAATCTGTTCAGATTTTGGCTTGTTGATTGCACTTAATTATGAAAGCTAACGTTTATTTGCACAACATTTTCAATATTTAATTAATTTTACGTCCCAAAGTCTTTAAAACTGGCTCAGTGTTTACACCATGATAATCATCTATGTTACATGATGAGGAGGGACAGTGCAGAACTGTGCCATCTGCTGGTGACGAGGAGGGACAGTGTAGAACTGCGCCATCTGGTGGTGACAAAGAGGTCTGTGTTAATAACGGACCAATCAGCCAATGAAATGTTAACAGATCAGCCAATGAGGTGTCCTGTTAGAAGGAGAGTGACTCAAAATGGAGGAAGAAGAACGGCTCCAAGGTCAGGTAGGCTGATCAGACATTATTATGAACTGAAATGATGCTGTTATTTTAGTAAAGTGTGAAAATGTAAAGGTACAAGAACAAAACAGAAACAGTGTCTTCAGCAAGACCAGATCAGCTCAGAGCTCCGTTTACAAACCTCAGGAGGGCCTAACTGCCAATGTTTTTGACGTTAATGAGGAGAATCTTAACAAGAACACTCTCTAACTGCTAGCACACATGCTAATAATGTTAGCATCAGCTTCCTACATCACTTTTGTGAAGTGTTTACAAAGTGCTAATTGCAAAAAAAATAAATGGTGCTGTTCTAGTTTCCGTCCTGGTGCTCTTAGTGCTCTGTTATAGTGATTATAGTGACTTTCTTCTCACCTGAGTGATAGTTTAAGACTGTTGGAGAGAGACTGCAAACCTAAACAAAGGCAAAGATCTAAACTCGTCCAAGTTTCGCTCTTCGGGGAGTTTAGTTAACCACAAATATCTTTTTAGTGCCGTGGTTCTCATGTTGGTGTTCTAGATAAAGAGGAGAGGAGAGGAGAGGAGTTCAGTCCTCCAAACTAGAACTGATCCACAGTCAGATCTCCACCTGAGGGCTGTGTAAGCGAAGCTGAGTTCGCTTCAGCTGAAGGAGATCTTACGGTTTAAACTCAGCGGCGTCTCTTAAATCTAAAAGCCTTTAATTAGTAATGAACTCCACCTGCTGCTGGTGATGAGGGACAGTGTAGAACTGCGCCATCTGCTGGTGGTGAGGAGGGACAGTGTGGAACTGCGCCATCTGCTGGTGTTGAGGAGGGACAGAGCAGAACTGCGCCATCTGCTGGTGGCCTTCAAAACAGGTTAAAATTGCCAGAGAAGATTTCAGGTCACCAGGACATTCAATAACATTTATTATTTTTTCATTAACTTACTCATTAAAATATATGTCAGATATCTGAGTCAAAAATCTTATAATCTTTACAAAATGATATGGAAACAACTGTAATCTTTAGAATCTCTACACTGTTGGTGCATAACGTTTATGCCAGAATTGGCCCACACATATAGACCCAAGGCAAAGCTGTACTCAACATTACAGCATCTGGCCCTATTCTGGCCTGAATGCCTAACATCTGCCCCGGAGTTGACCAACACTCATGTGTGAAAGCCACTATCAGCCCAGAACTGTCTACTGTCAGGAATTATTAGCAGAAGATTTTGCTGATTAATGTAACTGTGCTGGTGCTGCTTCATTGGAAATGTGACAGTGACATAATTTACAAGACTTTGTGTCTGTTTTGAGAAAACACTCCTAAAAGTTGTACAGCTGTCTTTTTCTGACCGTTTATGATTTGGTTGTTTGCTGGATCTTTTTATTCCCATAGAACGTTTCTGATACTTTTTAGATATTTCTAATTTACATTCCCATTTATTCATTTATTTTTATTGACAATTCTTATCCTCAGTATCTCAGGAAATTTGACCAGTAGAGAAAAATT